TCATTCATAGGCTTAGAGGGGTGCTGCCACGTGGGGGTGGGGAAATTTAATCTTTATCCAACTTATTAGTTAATTAGGTAATATCTCATTACCCGATAATTAACCAATTACCCGCATAATTAAGAATTATCTCAAATTACTTAAAATACTACTATTAAAATATGAATGAATTATGGTACCATATAAAATCAATACATACACTATTATTTCATTAAAACATCCATGTAAAAATACATATATTTTTTCAACTTCCAATTTTTTCCAAATCTCATATAAAGAGTACAAATTTTCGTACGCTTAATTCTTAAAATAGTAAAAAGATAACCTTTTTTTTCTTGTCAGAAAATAATTTCTCTCTTTACAATAAAGAAAATCTCATAAACTTTCTCATATTCTCTGTATAATTTAAAGCATATTCGAAAGTAGTAATATTAATAACTATATAAAATCATATTTTTCAAACCTTCTTTTACAAAAATGTTTCACTCAAAATATAATATCAAATGTATATAACGGTATCAAGGTTATTAAATTTACGGGGTATTACAATAACATAGTCACAAATCCTTTATAACCTCATTAATGGTCTTAATCCCTTCAAGCACATATGGATTACTACGACTCATCCTAATATTAAAGTACGGGATGTAACACTGAGGACGGTCTGGACCAACTCTGCACTACTTCAATCTTCTTCGGATCTACCTTGATCCCTTCGCACGAAAATATATGACCCAAAAATCCTACTGAATCAAGCGAGAATTCACACTTTGAAAATTTTGCATATAACTTCTTTTCTCTCAAAGTCTAAAGAACAGTCCTCAGGTGCTGCTCATGATTCTCCCGACTCCGGAAATACACCAGAATGTACACAATGGTGTAAGAATCAAGATAGGGCTGAAATTAGGGTTGTGCTTAATTTGGTAAATACTGAATTACCGTACCGAAACCGAAAATTTTAGTATTCGGTATTCAATATTTTGGTATTCGGTATGGTATTTGGTTTAAGTTTTAAAAAAAATTGATATTAGGTATGGTATTTGGTATTTTAAAATAAAATACCGAAATATCGATACCGTACCGAAATATATATTATATTACACAATACATATTTTATTAATTATAACATAAATATAAGAAATCTAAAATTTTACTTTTCTTTATTCTCTAAGTTCATCAATTAACTATAAGCAAGTAACAAGATATTTCTCTAAGTTTTCTCTCTCTAGGTTGGTATTTGCTGGTTTTGGACAAAACTTTTGTCAATAACCGTTTTTAGTTTTGTACTTTTGAATACTTTAATTAAGAATATTACCGTCTATGACTTTATGCACTAGTTAGTATTCATACCGAATAAACCGAAATTACCGAACCGAATAAACTGAAACCGAAAGGATAAAAATCGAACCATACTGAATTTAATTAGGTATGGTATTGGTATAGCATTTTACGAAATCTAATACCGAAAATACCGAACCCAAATATCTAAATATCGTACCGTACCGACCGACGAATACCCCTAGCTGAAATACACTGTTCATCAAGTACATAAATGTTTTTGGGGCATTGGTCAGCCCAAATGACATTACAATGAACTCATAATGACCATATCGAGTCCTAAAAGCAGTTTTCGGGATATCTGGCTCCCGAATCTTCAACTGATGATAGCATGAACGCAAGTCGATCTTAGAGAACACTCCGGCACCCTGAAACTGATCAAATAGGTCATCAATACGAGAAAATAGATACCTATTCTTCACTGTAACCTTGTTCAACTGGCGGTAATCAATACACATCCGCTTAGAACTATCTTTCTTCATCACAAATAAGACAGGAGCACCCCAAGACGAAACACCGGGCCGAAAAAAACCCTTATCAAGTAGCTCCTGTAACTGCTCTTTTAATTCTTTCAATTCTGTCGGGGCCATATGATATGGTAGAATAGAAATGGGCTGAGTGTCCGGTAACAAATCAATGCCAAAGTCAATATCCCTGTCGGGTAGCATATCCGGAAGATCTGCTGGGAATACATCGGGAAAGTCCCTTACTACCAGAAATGACTCCACAGTAGGAGTATCAATACTAACATCTCTCATATAGGCCAGGTACGCATCACACCACTTCTCAACCATTCGCCGAGCTTTAAGAAATGAAACAACCCTTCTAGGAACATGATCCAAGGTACCTCTCCACTCTAGCCGCGGTAGACCTGGCATAGCCAACGTCACCGTCTTGGCGTAATAATGAAGGATAGCATGATAGAGCGACAACCAGTCCATGCCCAAAATAATATTGAAATCCACCATACTGAGCAATAATAAATCAGCTCTGGTCTCAAAACCACTGATAACAATCAAACATGTTACACCCTATATTTTTGTACGTGAAACTACATCGTAAGTCAATTGATGTAAGCTTGAAAATGAGATCCTCTTTGAAAGTATATAAAGTGATTTAGTGAAGTTACGTCCCATTTTTCGCAAGCCTTTAAGAGTTATCATTCGGGGACAAATTTTTTTAATGAGAAATGTTGTTACACCCCGTACTTCAGATATCACTGTCATTATAGGATTATCTTATGTAAGCTCAAAAAGGATGAAATCCTTCTACAAGGATAAGAAAGGTTTACCGAAGTCTTAAGTAAGTTGGAGATGGATATGAGACTTGTTAATCATAATTTAAATGAGTTTAAAGTCATGATATGACTATATATGATATTTGGATATGATATATAAAGTTTGGGAAAAGTTGGATGTAAGTTACGGAAATATTGAGCTAAGATTTGTTTTGTAATGAGCCGTTTTGAGAAATTAATTCGTAAGCTTTATGAAGGTATTTGAACCTAGTTTCCAACGGTCAAAACTATTTATTCATACGATATTGGGGTAGAGAAATATGAATTTTAAAGTAGGGTCGCCAAGTCACGTCGCCGCACTTCGGAGAAACTGGTAGGTTTATAGACTAAATTGCGAGACAGTTTTCTCCCAATATATTGAGAGTTATAGGTAGATAATTATATGAAATTAAAGACCCATGTGTCTAGTTTCTAACTCTGTAAACCGTTCATCAATACGACATCGGTGTAGAGACACATTTGCATTTTTGCGAGACTGCGCAGGAGACCCCTATGGGACCTACTTGGCCGGGGCCCGACCTTCACTTATTCTTATCTCGTTTTTGAGATGAGCTTTGCTCATTTTTCGTTCTATTTCCAGACTCACACTCTCCAAACCCTCCCAATTAGCTGCCCAAAGGCTCCAAACAAATTCCAAAGGAATACACCATAATCAAACATAAAGTTAGCCTAAGTGAAAAAGAGAGTCTCTATAGTGTTGTGATGTGATTAAGGGTGGTTGTAAGATAAGGGAAGTTTTGGTTCGAGTTTTTTCAGATTATTTAAGGTATGTATAACACCCTATTTCTTGGAATTAATCTTATCTATGTGTTGGTTAAGTTATTGGATGAAGATTACAATATAACACTTGAAAAGGGAAGAATTGTTGTTATCTTTTCCCCCAGGCCGACTTTCACTTTCGCGAGGCCTCAATCGTGAACGCATAACTTTGCCCCCCGAACCTTCGGGAATGCGTGCCCTCAGTCACGAACGAGAAGCACAAAATGGGCCAGTCCAAATTTTCCCTTCGCGAACGCATGAGTCCCTTTGCGTTCGCGAAGAACAACATCAGTACGAGCATACCAGTAGCAGAAACCCAGCCAAACTTGGTCCGAAACCACCCTGAAACACACCCGAGGCCCCCGGGACCTCAACCAAATATACCAACATGTCCCAAAATATCATACGAACTTAGTCAAAACCTCAAATCACATTAAATAACGCTAAAAACACGAATCATACATCAATTCAAGTATAATGAAACTAACAAATTCCAACTTCTACATTCGATGCCGAAACCTATCAAATCAAGTCCGATTGACCTCAAATTTTGCACACAGGTCATAAATGACATAACAGGCCTATTCAAAATTTCAGAATCGGATTCTGACCCTGATATCAAAAAGTCAACTCCCCGGTCAAACTTCCAAGCTTAAATTTCTATTTTAGCCATTTCAAGCCTAATTTAACTACGGACTTCCAAATAATTTTTCGGACATGCTCCTAAATTCAAAAGTACCATACGGAGCTATTGAAATCATCAAAACTCTATTACGGGATCGTTTACATACAAGTCAACATCCGGTCAATAACTTTTAACTTAAATTTTCATCCTTGAGACTAAGTGTCTCAATTCATTCCGAAACCTCACCGGATCCGAACTGACCACTCCGGAAAGTCACATAACACTATAAAGTATAAAATGAGCAGTAAATGGGGGAACGAGGCGGTAATACTCAAAACGACCGGCCGGGTCGTTACAAATTGAATTTAAACTCCATTGACAACCATTAGCAAACTTCAAAACTTTTAATTCGAAAATTGGGTTCGATTCAATCGATATTTGTTTGGATTGAGTGTTGTTGCAAATGATTGGGAATACTATTTGGATTTTATATCTCAATTTTGAGAGAATTTGGTGAAGATTCGAGGTGGTCGTATTTCATATTGAACCTCGAAAAAGAAGACATAAACAAATTGTATATATTTTGTATGTCGAGTGTAGAACAGTATATAAAATATCTACAACTTACATAATTGTATACAACTTGTATGTAAAATGTATGTAAATTGTTGTTTTTAACCGGATTTTATGTAAAAAAATGTGTATTTAAGTTGTAGATAAGTTGTTGATAAATTGTAGACTGTGACCGAATTTGTATATATTTTGTAAAAAACTTTAGTTACCTTTTATAAATATGAAAACTTAGACAAACCGGGTAAAAAAGTTTAAAATCTCGTATATATACGAAAAAGTCTTTTAACTAATAATTCAGCCATGGTGTAATGGTGTTATTCAAAACCCGAGGGTGTAAATGTAATTTAATGCCTCCACTTACAATTTTCGTTAATTATGACAGGTTTGAAGTTTGAACTCTAAATATAATTAGCGCATCGTTCTTCAAAAGTCGATTCTGCAGCAAAATCCTTTCTCCTCCATTTTGGCGATTTAGGGTTTGGTTCTTTCTCCTGAAATGGCAAGCTCTCTTTCTCTCTTTCATCTCCCAGTATCATTCTACTGCGAACATATGTGTTATATGAATTGCATCATTCAGTAACTCTTTTTGTAATTCCTAATTAATTGTGGAAACAACAAATTTATGATCTTTATGATTCCTTGCAGGCTGATTCTCCTCGCAAAAGGTACAAATCTTTTTCTCTAGCTAAGTTCCATATCTGTCTTATTTTTTTGCTTTATATTCGTTGAAGCGCCTTGCTCCCCCTCCGTGTTAACGTTCGTTAATTGCAATTTTTTTTTGCGTTAGGGTTTTTCATCTGTCTTTTCTGATTATTTTTTCTTTTTTGTTTGTTGTCCTTGTGAAGGGTGAATACATGACTAATTTTAGAGGCTCTCGTATGTGTATATATGACTAGTTTGTCTATTTCTTACCAAATTGTCTCAAGTTGACAAACTTTTAGCTGGTTAAGGCAAATTATCTATTAATTTAAGCATATGTAGCTCATTTTTTCTGTGTTAATGAGCTACATAGACAAATTTTAAAAAAAAATGGCAAGCATATGTAGCTCTTTTCCCCCCCCTGATTATCAAATTAAAAAACAACAACAATGTGATCATTTATCAGGGATTAGCGGTAGCAAGTCATTCATACATTTCTTTTGCAATGGCAAATAAGGTTCAACTTAAAGCAAAAATTTCCAGGGATCATACGAATGAAGTGTCTCACTATATGGTCTTCATAGGTCCTCAGACATATTGAATAAAATGATTTTCGGCTAGGTCTTTCTTGAGTTTTGTGTGTGATCACGATAGAAAGTCAATCTATGGATCAATCGTTACGAAATCTTTATAAGTATAATTGCTAAGCATGTTTCCGGAGACATATATTCACAGTCTTAGTAATGCATCTTTATTATCTTTTTTGTACACAAGTAAAATCTCCAATGCATTTTCTTTTAAGGCATCAACTTTAGTTGTATTAATTTTCATGGAAGTTTTATGAGCTACATATGCTTGCAAAAGATGCCATCGTTACTCAAGGAACCATCTTAAAGACACATGTCATTGTTGTCAATTTTTTTTGAGGGTTCAACTGATTAGGACTGAACTGGCTCGATGTTGTATTTTCTGGAATCCCCAGGTATTCCCGCTCTCCTTCTCCTTGGGATGAAAAGTCAAGATCTCACTCTCGCTCTCTATCAAGGTCTAGATCCCGATCCAGATCATGGCCAAGGCCAAGAGGAAGATCCAGGTCCAGAAGTCAAGGAAGGTTGAGTGGATTTTTAGCTTTACTCCACCTTCTTTATGTTAACAGCTTCTTTTGGGTTACTCTGATTTTCTCCTCCATGAGTTATTTAGGGCTGAAGTTTCTAATCCTGGCAACACACTCTATGTGACTGGATTATCTACAAGGGTCACTGAAAGGGACCTTGAGGAGCATTTCTCAAAGGAAGGAAAGGTTGGTTTTTGGTTTACATATTAGCAAGTTGTTTTCTGATTCTTCTGGTTCTGTTTCTGCCATGTTTCTGTGCTCATACCAAGGTTTTCTCTCTTTCAACATCATCGGTATTGTATCTACTCTTTATAATGAAAGTTTTTTCATTTATGATGATAATCTCAGCAACAACCAGTTTTTTTTTTTTTGAGTTTATTGTATGAGCAAAGTCTTGTCAATGCATTTGTTGAGACATTGATGTGTTGTGGCATTTTGGCTGGAATCATTTCTCATTGTTCATACTTTTAAGACTTGCTGTTGAAGTTTCTCTTTTACTTTCTGTTGACTAGGTGAAGTCAGTTTTTCTGGTTGTGGAGCCCCGTTCTCGTATCTCTCGTGGTATTGCTTTTATAACAATGGATAGTCTTGAGGATGCTAATCGCTGCATTAAGAACCTTAACCAGTCTGTCCTTGAAGGCCGGTACATAACAGTGGAGAAGGTGAGTTACTTCTACCTTGATTGGTGAACCATGTTCTGTTGGGTTGCTTATCTGTTTTCTTGACTTGGAGGTTTTCTGGCTATATTCAGAAGACATTACCTCAGCTGTGTTGGCAGCAATCAAAGATGATCAGTTCTTCCCTTGCAACATTATATTCACTCAGCTTGATCAATGGCCTGCTAAAACAGCTTTTCACATGCATCTCATCAGCTAAACATAGCAACTATAGTGCCCAACAACTATACAACCTCAGCAAATACTTTCAACTCAACTAATCAACGGTCATTATCAACTTTACTGTACGACTAGCGTGATATTATATTTCTTAGTATTCTTCATCAAAGATATAACATTTCTCAGTAATGGACATTGTTATGTGCTTCTGCCGCCTTCCTCGCCATTATCTCCAGATATGGAGAGGTACTAAAAAGACTTTGATTTTTGTTGCCAGATTAGTTGAATGTAATGTTCTGCAATTACAGGGAGCACATTTCCTATTCCTGTTTGTTCTGGATGTAGACATCATATCAGATTTTAGAGACTAAGACGATATATCTGTTTTTCAGTCTTGAAGAAAATGCCGATGATTCGGAAATGTTATATTTCTTCCATTACAAGGAGTACATTATCTAGAATACAGTATTCGGTTAAGATAACCCATTTGTTCCTGTATGTCAACAAGTTCATTTTACATAATGAGATAATATATTTATTTTCCAGTCTCGTAGAAAATGCCCAAGGACTCCAACACCTGGTCATTATCTTGGACTTGAGAGCACACAGGGTGATGGTAAGCTTCTGATGCTATTTAAGTTCGTATTCTTTCTGGCTAAATTATGGAATCTCTGAAGTTTTCACTGCTTTGGCCGAAGGTTATCGTGGTGATCGTGGTAGGTATCGCGGCCGTGATGACTATGGGTATCGAAGACCTCCAAGGCGCTCGCCATATAGAGGTGTACGAGGTTATTCTCCTAGGCGCTCTCCATGTGCTGGAAGGTCAAGACGTATGCGATCCCGGTCACATTCTCCTTATGAGAGGAACTATCATCGTGGTTCTAGATAGGGGTTTCACAAGGCATATCTGGTCAACTCTTTGGCGATGAAAACTGCTTGTAAGGATCTATAAGTTTGATGTGGACTAGAATTGAGGGTGTAAGGTGTTACAGTAGCAGTGAATGAATGTTGTACTTGTATGTGTGATGTGCCTGTCACCTATCCCTATCATTAGCTTATACCTTGAATGTCGATAAAGCTGTAATCTTTCTGAAGCTTTAAGTAGGCATTATGACATTCCTGGTATTGATGTATCTACTCTCCTTCGTTACATGTCATTTTGTTGTTGGCGTGGACTTAGCGGTGGTTTAAGAAATCTGTTGGTTCAATTTCTTTTGCTTAGTGACTTTCTGACTTGATAACAGGGTGAAATTAATTATCTCGTTACTCAATTACTTGTAGTTATGATCGTTCTGCTTGAACATTTCTCATTATATTCATCGTCTTTTAACAAAATGTCTATGGTTTTGGCGTCGTTGAGGTGGGTTGCCAAGATTCTTTTCTGTGGCATGTACACGGGTGGTTGGAGGTTGGAGCATAAGCGGGATTATCAACCTGTGTGTATGCAATTTTACCCCTGAGCTTGCGACTTGGATTACTACTTGATGGGAGTTGGGGTTGGACGAACACTGCAATGAGAAATTGTGCAAAAAGCTATCTAAATTGTACTGTAAAGATATGTGGTATTGCATCTGAAAACACGTGTAATCCACTTAATAGGACAACTAAGAATGTCCTTATTGCCCTTACAAGTATTGATCTAGCAATTTCTATGTAGGGGTATATTTATTATTTGCTCAAACCACATCAGCTTCATCTTCCCCGAGCAGTCATCTACTAACAAAAAAATTCATTTCTCCAAACAGCTATCACTGCTCTCTTCTCCTTCCATTCTCTAACCTTGGCTGCTTCCTCTGTTCCTCTCAAGCTCTTTTTCTTCATTTATTCACCTGTATGAATTCTTATTTTGGGCATTTCCCTTTTTCTCTGTGTGTCTTTTGCTTTCTGGTTTATCTATTTTAAAGTTTTCTGATTTATATTGTCACTTTGATTTATTCAGAACCTCTGTTTGTTTTTCTTTGATTTTTGTATGTTTCTTTCCTCGAGTCGATGAGATGAGGGTTTTAGAAGGAGCAATTGTTGTCAGATTCCATTTTCTTGGTACTTCTGCTTCTTCTTTTAGCTGCTTCTATACATGCAAGTGCTCATTTGTGACTAGTTATGGTGCCAACATGGAGACTTCATTCTTTGAATACCCATAAAGAAGTTTGGATTTAAATTGATATTATGAAAAATCAGATAACTTTGGTATATGTTAGTTAGTGTATACGTTAAAATCCGAGTTTGCCACTTCGTGTAATTAGTCGAGATTGGAACGTGATGAACCGAGGGTCGTCATTGTAACATCGAGATAAGAAGTAAAGCCAGATTATCGAGCTCAAGATTCAGGGACCGATCAATATCGAGTTCGAGTCAATATCGAGCTATGATATGAAGTAGTGTTATCGAGCTCAAGAGTCAAAGACCGATCAATACCGAGCTCGAGTCAATATCGAGCTCGAGATCCGGAGATCGACCAATACCAAGACCGACCAAGATCGAGCTAAGAGACAAAGAGCCGTTGTAGCCGCACTAAGGGAGAGAATCTCGGTGGGAATTAAGGAAAAGATAATTAACTAATCTATCATGGAATTCCTACTATGTATTTTTATTATATCCAAAGTAGTATTTTTTCACTATATTAAGCGTAGGTATCATTTCTGTAAGGGGGAGAAAAATATCCAGAGAAGCATACATTGATACACTCTCATATTCAGAAATTATTGAGATTTACACACATATAGTAAAGATTATCCTTTTTTGGGCTTGGTACATTAGTTCATCTTGTTCATATAAATATCATTCCCCACTTAATTCCGGTTGGTATTAATTCCTTTATACAGTCAGTATTCGATATATTTCTACTTACTTTTCCAATTTGTATCAAGTTATACCACATGTCCTTAGAACTACGTATAAATTTAGCTCTATCTGTTTTTCGGGTAAACAGTTTGGCGCCAACCGTGAGGCTAAGGATAACAGTGGTTATTTGGTACGAATCTCTACCAAACACACTATTTTACACTTGCTCTTGGAAGTATCTTTGATTATAGGTTAAAAACGACGAACTCTCAATTAATGGCCCTACCTATCGACAACGAAACTAGCCTTCAAGATGAGAATAACAACCTGACGACCGGGGATGAAAGGCCACCAGTCAATCCCGTTAGAGCTCGGGCCATAGATCTAATTGACGATAATTCGCATGTGGCCATCAAGGCAAACCAGCGTTCCGACCCCGAAAACAACATTCATGGTGAAACTCGATCTGCAGTTCAAAATACCCAAAATGTTAGAGAAGACGGGATCAGCCTGCGTATGATTTTCGAAATGTTGCAAGCTCAGCAGGTAGCGATAGCTCAGTTGCATAGCCAAACCCAGGTACCGAGCAGGGCAAAGCCCGGTCCACCTCGAGAAGTCACCTGCGAAACGAGGCCAGCTGTTGTAAGATCAAATGAACAAGAATCGGGGACTAATCCCGAAATTATTAATGTGTTAGAGGAATTGACAAAACGAATTGAGTCAGGAGAAAAGAGGATTGAAGCAAACAACAAGAAAGTAGAAATTTATAACTCCAGGATTGATCAGATCCCGGGGGCACCACTGATATGGAAGGGCTTGGATTCCAAAAAATTCGTACAAAAGCCTTTCCCCCCAGCGCGGCTCCTAAACCGATCCCAAAGAAGTTTCGCATGCCCGAAATTCCTAAATATAATGGAACGACCGACCCCAACGAACATGTCACCTTTTATACATGTGCCATTAAAGGGAACGATCTAGAAGACGACGAGATCGAATCCGTACTACTTAAGAAGTTCTGGGAAACTCTGTCAAAGGGGGCAATGATGTGGTATCATAATTTACCGTCTAACTCTATCGATTCTTTTGCTATGCTTGCAGATTCTTTCGTAAAAGCACACGCCTGAGCTATAAAGGTCGAGACCAGGAAGTCGGACCCTTTCAAGGTAAGGCAAAAGGACAACGAGATGCTAAGAGAGTTCGTATCTCGTTTCCAAATGGAACAAATGGATCTACCACCAGCCACTAACGATTGGGCTATACAAGCTTTAACTCAAGGACTAAACTAGCAGAGCTCGATGGCTTCACGACAGTTGAAGCAGAATTTGATCGAGTACCCAACTGTTACTTGGGCCGATGTACACAATCGATATCAATCGAAGATCAGAGTTGAAGATGACCAGTTGGGGTCTAGGTTCGTTATTAAAAGGGACATCGACCGAGAACCAAGGTCAAACAAGGATCGATATCAGCCGTATAACGGAGATCGTAGGGGTAGCGAACCTACACGCAACTCTGCACGAGGCGAAAGGAGAAGTGATCGAGGCCAAGGGTCTCGGGGGCTGATGAACAGAAATTGGTTCGATAGGCATACCGGACCTAAGGAAGCACCACGGTTATCAGAATATAACTTCAACGTCGATGCATCCTCCATCGTGTCGGCTATCGGACGCATCAAAGATACTAAGTGGCCTCGACCTCTACAGTCTGATCCAGCCCAGAGAAATCCCAATCAAATGTGCAAGTATCATGGTACCCATAGCCACAAAACCGAAGACTGCAGGCAATTGAGAGAGGAGGTAGCCCGGTTATTCAATGAAGGTCACCTTCGAGAATGTTTAAGTGATCAGGCCAAAAACCATTTCAAAAACAGAGATTTCAATAGACAGAACGAACAAGAAGAGCCACGACACATCATTCATATGATCATCGGAGGGATCGATGTCCCCTAGGGGTCGGTGCTTAAACGCTCTAAGATGTCTATTGTAAATGAGAAACGATCTCGGACTCAGGATTACATACCTAAAGGAACCATGTCCTTTAGTGACGAAGACGCAGAAGGAATCATGTAACCATATAGCGATGCACTGGTAATATCTGTACTTATGAATAAAACTCAAGTTAAGTGTGTGTTAATTGATCCAGGAAGTTCGGCAACATCATTCGATCAAGGGTCGTATAGCAACTCGGTCTACAGGACCAGGTCGTGCCGCTACCTTGGTAGTGAATAGTTTCAATATGGCATGTGAAACTACTAAGGGCGAGATAATTTTGCCAGTAAACATAGCTGGGACCATCCAAGAAATGAAGTTTCACGTGATCGAGGGCGATATGAGATATAACGCCCTGTTCGGAAGGCCATGGATCCACAATATGAGAGCAGTACCCTCGACCCTTCACCAGGTTCTAAAATTCCCTACATCGGAGGGAATCAAAACGGTCTACGGGGAGAAACCGACCGCAAAAGAAATGTTTGTCGTCGATGAAGTGATTCCGATATCTTCACTATCATCGACAAAAGGATCAGATTCGAAGGGGGAGCGGGATACCAAATAGCAATCACAAACGTCAGCCTCGACCCAACTAGAGAATCAGAAGACTGACGGGGATGATGACTATGGGGTCCCTTGATCCTTCGTGGTCCCCGATGACTCCGACACTACCTAATCGACGATCGAAGAACTGGAGCAAATCACACTAATCGAACATATGCCCGAACGAAAGGTATACCTGGGCACAGGGTTAAATCCCCAGCTCAGGGAAAAGCTTATTTAATTTCTTATAACTTACATGAACTGCTTCGCTTGATCCCATCTTGACATGACAGGGATTCCACCGAAAATAACCACTCATAGATTGAGCTTGGATCCGAAATTCCATCCGGTAAAGCAAAAAAGAAGGCCCCAGTCCGAGATTAAACATGCCTTCATCAAGGAAGAGGTAACCAAACTTCTTAAAATAGGATCCATTCGAGAAGTAAAATACCCCGAATGGCTAGCAAATGTGGTGGTAGTCCCTAAGAAGGGAAACAAACTTAGAATGCGTATAGATTATAAAGACCTGAACAAAGCATGCCCTAAGGATTCCTTTCCTTTGCC